CACCCAACGACACGGTTTGAAAAAACATATAAAGATGCATACAACTACAGAGAAATCAAATATCAAACCTAAGCTTGGATGTGTAATTGGTAATAATATCTTTGCTGCCGGTATTCACACTGAGGACTCGGAGAAACCATTCAAATGTGATAATTGTGAGAAACCTTTCACCACTCAATTTAATTTGAAACAACATATCAAGATCCATACTGGAGAGAAACCTTTCAAGTGTGAACATTGTGAGAAATGTTTCGCATATCAACAATCTTTGATATCTCATAACAGGACTCATACAGGGGAGAAACCATTCAAATGTGATCATTGTGAGAAATGTTTCACTCAACAATCAAATTTAAAACAACATATCAAGATTCACACTGGAGAGAAACCATATAAATGTGATCATTGTGAGAAGTGTTTCGCATATCAACAAAATTTGATATTTCATAACAGGACTCATACAGGGGAGAAACCATTTAAATGTGATCATTGTGAGAAATGTTTCACTAAACAAACAACTCTGAAACAACATGCAAAGATTCATACTGGAGAGAAACCCTTCAAGTGTGAATATTGTGAGAAATGTTTCACTCAACAATCAAATTTAAAACAACATATCAAGATTCACACTGGAGAGAAACCATATAAATGTGATCATTGTGAGAAGTGTTTCGCATATCAACAAAATTTGATATGTCATAACAGGACTCATACAGGGGAGAAACCATTCAAATGTGATCATTGTGAGAAATGTTTCACGAAACAATCATATGGGAAACAACATACAAAGATTCATACAAGAGAGAAACCATTCAAATGTGAAAAATGTGAAAAACATTTTGCAATAAAAGTAAGTTTAAGACAACATATCAAGACTCATACTAGTGGAAATAAATTTAAATGTGAATATTGTGAGAAATATTTCACACGTAAATCAAATTTGAAACAACATGTAAGGATTCACACTGGAGAGAAACCATTTAAGTGTGAATATTGTCAGAAATGTTTCTCACAACAAGGAAATTTAAAAGCCCATATAGAATTCACAGTTCACACTCCAAAAATTCAAATGTAAACAGTGTCAGAAGTGTTTCTCACAACAACAACATTTGAAACAACATACAAGGATTCATACTGGAGAGAAACTATTCAAATGTGAATATTGTCAGAAATGTTTCTCACAACAAGGGTGTTTAAAAGTCCATATTAGAATTCACAGCTCACACTAGTAGGGGCTCATATGGTAGCCAAAGGTGGGCCTGTCAGTGAGCAAATTTGAACCACATTATTTATCTGGGGAAACATGTCAGATTTAATGATTTGGAACTTTGACGCCCAAAAAGCGACCATTAAGGATAGCTTTTCTAGGTTTTATACCCCCGAGGTTATTTTCGAGGGGGTCTCAACTCTTTCTTAATAACTTTAAAAATATTAAAGATATGTGTCTGAAACTTGCAGGGTACCTTCCTGGGGTCAACACATAGCTGTATTAAAAGTTTAGGATTATTTGGAACAACGGTTGCTATAGCAACCAAGAAAATGTGTTTCCAAACTGGCAATTTAGAGCAATTTTGGCCTGTAGCAACCTGGTTGAAGTTAGATATTTTTTCTATTGATGAATTTTCACATTGTTAATTTAGGTTTCAAAAACACACTACAACTGTATTCTTTCATTTTATTGCAGATTAGAATTGACACCATTAGCATTAAAGGTCCATAATCGTACATGAATGAACCCACCCCCCAAAGTCCATAAAAAGTGGGCGTGGCACCAGACATGTACCAGTTTGTAATTTATAAGTTTAAACACCCAATAAATAATGTTGATATTTATGTTACCATGTTTCCAGTGGTAGTTGAAGAAGTTCTTTTAAAAAACTAGATATATTACCATGGAAACCATATATTTATGTTGCCATAGCAACAGAACTATGGTAATGAAAGAGCCAATAATTTGATTGAGGCCCTCATGCACGTGGTCCCATATATACAAAAATCAAATGTCCTGTATCTCTCAAAGATCTTAAAAGAAGAAAATTAAAAATAAGCATTACTTTTGTGAAAAGATTGCTTTCAACATTTCAGCATTTTTGTCTAATCAAAAGGACCAGGTATGGTATTACAAGTGAACCCGTGATAATTTTAAGGTTGTAAAACTGTCTGTCTAAACAGACTGTCTAAAATCACATGCCATACAAAACCTGGTCCTCTCCCATTGAAAAAGTGTTTGAAAACTTTGATTTATTGTTATAACCCTAGAAACACTAATAGGGGGAGGAAGAGGGGTTTGAAAAGGCCCCTACAGTTAAAGTTTTTTATTTGAAGCTTTTTATAGGCATCAAGTAGGATCTTCAATTTTTCAAGAGCTTGAGCTTCAGATATAACAAATGTATTCTGAAAACATCAGCAGAATTGAACAAAGGGTTATTATTTTTTATGATGTTCAGCTCCAAGAGACAAAATCGGAAATATCGAGTACTAAATTGGTCGTCATTTGAAGCCTAAGCCAAAACCTAATAGATGAAAATTAATGGAATATGTGTGGTATTTTAGAAGATGAACAACAATTTATTATGATTTGTGAGAAAAAGATAACAGAAAGAAAATTTCTGGTTTGACACAACTTAATTTTGTAGGCAGTTCTGACTTTATTTTTAAAAAACTGAGGTCTCATAAAAATCCTTATGTAATTTTGCATCTAGCACTAGCAAAGTTTATTTATCATTCACTCAAAAAACTTGATTAATATTGTGACAATGATACATCACACTGATGTTTTAGATTATGTCATGCTGTATTTGTATTTTACAACTATCTTGTATTTTTGTATTTTACATTTTATGATGCTGTAATTGTATTTTACAAATACTTTGCATTTTTGTATTCAGTAGTTAGTTTAGTCTTAGTTCAATCTTGTATATTGTAGTTTGTATTGACTAATATGTCATTGTAATGACATCAGAGAGTCAATAAAAGATATATACTAATTCTACAATACATGTTGTCTTTAGAATAAAATTACACAATATTACATCATCATAGTTGTGAGTTATTACACCATAATAAATAATTGAATGGAATATACTTCGGTAAATTTGAACACCCTTTAGTAATAAAGATTTTACAAGTGGGGCCTCTCCCCATGGGGCTTCCTGTGACCTTTTTACCTTAGGGCTTCTTGGGTTAAGAATCACACTATAAAGGTTCAGAATCCCAATATGAAGAAAATCATCTTGTCTGTAAATGGCACATTGATCCAATCAAAATTATTTGATAAATTAAGAAATCTTTGTCACTTTTCTTCCTACTATGCAATGATATCTTGCCACACTAAAATCACTACTGCCATCTATCTTCAATCAATTTAGTCTAAATATAGAGTGTCTTGGTGTCATTCAAATGTGATCATTGTGAGAAATGTTTCATACAACTACACCATTTGACATATCATATTAGGATTCATACTGGAGAGAAAGGATTCAAATGTGAAGTTTGCGAGAAATGTTTCACACAAATAGTACATTTGTAAGAACATCCACTCATATTCGAGAGAAAGAATTTGAATAATATTCAAATATATATTTATATTATTATAATACATATTATGTAGAATGTAAGGAATTAATTGAAAATTATTTTAATTGGAAGCTACTGGAGAGAAACCAATTCAGTGTGAACATTGTAAAAATGTTTCTTGGTCTCAAACAGGAAAGAAGCAATTAAAGATATGCAAATCTCAGATTTTGATGTCAGCAATGCTTCAAATATTACATTTTTTTAATGATATAGTCTAAATGTTAAGATCCCAAAGCTACTTGTTTGAGTGCCTAATGTAACATGCAGTTAGAATTTAACATTGTTTTACATCGTACTTGAACTTGAAGGATATTTCAATTCTTATTTGCGACAATCATTGGCTCTTTATCATTCTACAAATTTATAAGGCATAAATTCACTCTACTATACCTTGCATTCATGAGCAACTCATTTGGCCTTGATTAGAAATGATTATGTTATTTGTTTTTATTTGTCTGTTCCTTATTAATGGTTTATTGGATGAATGTTAGATGTTAATAAGGTACTTTCAAAAATATACTAAACAATACAATTAGACAGAGTAGCTTATGCATTTCTTGGGGTTAGGTATAGTAGAGTGAAATTGTTGGATTTACATAAAATGAAGTCATCAGGAATAAAATAAATTATAACCACAAACTTAAAAATATTCTGTCTTTTATTGCACATACTTCCATTACAAAGTGCCACATTTCATATACTTTAAACACAAAATTACACCTCTCAAGTCCTGATTGTGCTTCAAAAGTTTTTTGTGATATCATGCATAACTGAAAATACTCATTTTAGCTATTTTAAAGGGGCAACAAGGACTGTAGAGAGAAAGTTCAAAATTTTTTATTTTTTCTGAGCTGTCAGGTCAATATTTTACTTAACATCTTCTTTGACATTAATACCCTATATTCTTAAATGTATGGATAAGCTATCAATTTCAGCATTAAGAAGTGTAAATTCAGTTCAAAGCTTCTATAAAGGGAGTCCCACTTAGAGATTTTTAAGATTCACCACGTTTCAAGAGGAATATCAGCTGAAATAATGTTCATCCAGGGGGTTTCTTTGTAGATTTATAAAAATATATGTTAGTCTTGATGAAATATCCAAACTTAAATATATTTTGAAATTGGTCGATTATCGTTGAATGCCCCCCCCCCCCCCCCTGCACTAATTGTTGCACCTTTAAAACACCATTTCTTCCTTTACCTGCACCAAGTTCTTTTGAAGCACTTTCTCAAGAAGAGTACATGATTGTTTGCACATTCAGCACCATCTATATTTTCATTACTGTTTGTACACTGAGAATCCTCTAAATTCAATTAAATCTGCTCTTTACCATAATATCATGTCCCTACCATTTGGATCAAAATGGTTCCACTTGCAAATGGTTGGAGACATCTTGTCATTATGTTGGAGACATATTTTTATAGTCTCTTACTTTTTTGTGAATGGTGGTTGAGGTTCCGAATCCAGTTGTCAGTGTTTTGGGTTTGGGGGTCAGTGTTTGAAGTTTGGTGCTCTGTAACAAATGACAGGTGGTGCCATTTTGTATGTTTAAATACCTTGTTCCTAGTAGTACCAGTACATTATAAAAGAGGAAACAATCGTACATTAACTAGAGGCAAATTCGGAGATGCTTATAACATTTTGCAATTATTTAGTCTGTACAAATTGTATCTTCACTTAAAATAGGTTCACTTGGGCAATTTTAATGGGATTTCATCTATATTCTCCAATTATTCAGTCCATACCAACCATGTTTTCAAAATGGGTTCACTGGGGCGATTGTAATAGGGTTTGATAATGATTCAATCCATGTATGTCCATTTATTATTTTTGTAGTGGCTATCAGATAGTCGGTTGGGCCTGAAAGAAAACAGAGTTGAAATAACAATTTATTAGTTTACATTGTCAAGTGGCATAATTAATAGTCAAAGAGGCTACACATGCTGGTGCATATTAATGTCTAAACTGTTCATGTCATACATGAGGGATCTAGTATCCAGTGGAATATACTGTAGATTGGGTTAATTTGGCGCCCGCTTTAATTTGGTGAATTTGGCGAAATTGAAAAATTCGCCAATATAAATCTTCGCCAAAATTTAGAATGAATCCCCGGGAATTATCTAGGGTATTTCGTCGAGTGTATTTAGGTCACTTCCGGTTTAGTTTTTTCCAAAAATATGAAAAAATGTCTCTCATAAATTGGCTCAGCCTCGAACTGGTCTGTCACTGATTAATACTCAGGGAAAAACTAGAAAGGAAAAGTGCAGTATAGTAGCAGCATCAATCGAGGTGCAAAATGTAAAGGATGATCTCACAAAAATGTACAAACGTGGTGAATATTGCCAGTGGTCCTCAAAAGAAAAAATGAACATAAAATTCGCAAACAACGCGTAAGTTAATTAAAATTTTTTTTGCATATCCGCCAAATTAAATAGCCGCCAATATGCCAAAAATGGCAAAATCGCCAAATTAAGTAGCGCCAAATTAACCCAATCTACAGTATATAAGGGTTATACACTGGCAGGTTTTGGATACAGGGAATATCCCAAGGATATTTCCTGTATCAGAACTGAGAGTGTATAACAGTTACATGCCATACTTGATGAGGTTTGAAATAATAAGCATATCTCCAATATGAAGAGTTATTAATTTATAAATTATTATTATTATTATTTATTATGTATGTAATTTTTTTTTCTCACAATACAAACTTAAAAGTAGAAATACAAATAAAATCTAAAATGTTAAACTAGAACTTGAAGCTCCATTCTAAAACTTGAATGTGTTTTGTTTAGTTCAGTGCTGAAATAGTTATGACGGGAATTCCCAGAGAGGGATATATAGCTTGAGCGGGATATATGAGTTATAAATCCTGGAAGCTTGGTGGAGTGGGACAGATATATTCAACTTTATATGGATATTCCTGGGTAATATGTTCATGAAACCTCATCAGGTATGGAATAAATAAGTATATCATTCTTTGACAGTACAGTAAAACCTGTCTTAGTTGAACCTCACAGTCCCCCTCCCTCCACCCATCAGTACAGGTTCAATGCTGATTAGGCCTTTACTTACACTTACCATCTTCAAACTGTGACAGAAATCTAAGAGCTGCAACCTCTGCATATGTAACCCCTCCAAGGAAGAATATTAATGTCACTTTAGGCTCTCCTGTACTTGACTGTGTGGATGTGATTGATGTTCCTAGAATACATAAAGGAATATTAATGTCACTTTAGGCTCTCCTGTACTTGACTGTGTGGATGTGATTTATGTTCCTAGAATACATAAAGGAATATTAATGTCACTTTAGGCTCTCCTGTACTTGACTGTGTGGATGTGATTGATGTTCCTGAAATACATAAAAGAATATTAATGTCACTTTAGGCTCTCCTGTACTCGACTGTGTGGATGTGATTGATGTTCCTAGAATATATAAAAGAATATTAATGTCACTTTAGGCTCTCCTGTACTTGACTGTGTGGATGTGATTGATGTTCCTAGAATACATAAAGGAATATTAATGTCACTTTAGGCTCTCCTGTACTTGACTGTGTGGATGTGATTGATGTTCCTGAAATACATAATAGAATATTAATGTCACTTTAGGCTCTCCTGTACTTGACTGTGTGGATGTGATTGATGTTCCTAGAATATATAAAGGAATATGAGTGTCATTTCAAATTCAAGGCCTTGTCAACTCTACAACATACTTTTCCACTCTAGGAGAAAATACCGTCAACACTATGTTAAATTATTTTCGGGGATTTTTCAAATTTTATAAACGTGAATTTAGAACTATCAAAATTTTGCATATAAGGGAAGATGAATGTTTGCAAGGGAACACTTCCCCATATGTACAAGAAAATAAGATTCTTTCAAATTCAAATTCACAACATCAACAAGACACACAATGATAAATATCACTGTGTGTTAAGTGTGTGTGTGCTTGTTGAGCAAAATGGACAGTATTTTACATAGCATGCTGAAAACAGAATAAGATCTTGACACCATCATGCTGTAGTCTGCTCTTGCAACTTTTAAAATTTCAATTTAAATGGATCTGCAGTTTGCCTGGAACTTTGATCATTTACCTGAGATTTCACCATATATATACTGTACCATATGAATAGTTAATATGTTATCACTGAACTGTTTAAAGGACATACTTCTCTTCCGTAGTCCAGCAGGTAGTTTCTGTTGTTCCTCCACTGTTGGACCTGGCAGAAGGGATAAGACTTCTACAATACTTCTCCAGCCTGGTCTTGCTAAATACTGCGCCAGTCGCACTGAGAGTGGGGCATAGCCACTAAATACGTATGATATATCATTGGGATTCTGCAAAAAGCAATAGTACAAATAGATGATGGGCCAGTCGCACTGAGAGTGGGGCATAGCCACTAAATACGTATAATATATCATTGGGATTCTGCAAAAGCAATAGTACAAATAGATGATGGGCCAGTCGCACAGAGAGTGGGGCATAGCCACTAAACACGTATGATAAATCATTGGGATTCTGCAAAAAGCAATAGTACAAATTGATGGGCCAGTCGCACTGAGAGTGGGGCATAGCCACTAAATACGTATGATATATCATTGGGATTCTGCAAAAAGCAATAGTACAAATAGATGATGGGCCAGTCGCACTGAGAGTGGGGCATAGCCACTAAATACGTATGATATATCATTGGGATTCTGCAAAAAGCAATAGTACAAATAGATGATGGGCCAGTCGCACTGAGAGTGGGGCATAACCACTAAATACGTATGATATATCATTGGGATTCTGCAAAAAGCAATAGAAAAAATAGATGATAGGCCAGTCGCCCTGAGAGTGGGATGAAGACACTTAACATTATATGATGATATATCATTGGGATCCTCAAAAAAGAACTGTCCAGATATGGCAAATTGTTAACTTATACTTGCATGTGAAGGGAAGTTTGGGGTACATGTAATGGAGGATTTGGTTGAAATATTTTGTGAAGGGCATTTTTCATGGACCAAAACTATAAGTACATAATAGTCATCAACCTTATGGTTCGTCAAATAACTTACATTATTAAATAAATATATTCTTTTGATTGCATAAAGCCACTTTCTGTAGTCCAAGTATTTTTTTATGTCGAATTCAATTTTGCAATATTTGCGATTGTAGTAAAATCGCAAAAAATTTGAGGAAATCTAAAACCCACAAATTGAATGGATAGTACAGTATATGATAAGATGACATTTAACTCACTTGTTCATTGACTTCTTCCACACAGAGTTTCAGAGTTTTCCTAATTGTTGGGAATGTTTTCTGTCCTTGGACTTTGATCAGACCAGCCTGCTCTAGGTTCATAATAGTCACTATGTGCTCAAAGCCATACACCTAGAATAAATCAGGATACTGCGAATTTCATACTTTTATACATGTACACTGATTTTATACTCAATATAGCCATTAGAATTGCTGTCACAACCTGCTTAGTAATACTCCTTATAAAGAAAATGATATGAGGATTTTTGGGGGATTTAATAATAGGCTATATCAAAATTTCCCTCATTGGGATTGAATTTATGTATTTTCCTCTGCAATGTTAATTTCATGAAGACTGGAAATTATTTGCAATTTCTTGATATTTCCCTAAATGAAAAACTTACAAAAAAATCATGTTCAGCCTAATGTAGAGTCCATAGAGCTCATGGTACATACTGACTTTAAAACTGCTTATATCCCTATTACATACTATTCCTGATGTCATGCACTAGACTGTGCTAAAGCTATCCTACCTGTATTATTTCTTTCTTATAGTAGTCTAGTACTTTTGACTTTAGTCCATTATTACATATACTTTGTATGCAGACCAGCCGCAACACCTAAAACACACATGGATGTCTTGTCTTTAAGGTATTATTAAGTGTGGGTAATAGTCCACTGACCATCATGTTATTGTTTACTAGTACTCGACTCAGTGAAAATCTCATTTTTCTAATGATAGCCAGTTGCTTTAAAACTATGATGCCATTTGCAGGCTGATTGTTGGAGATCAGTTACTGTAGATTGGGTTAATTTGGCTCCCGCTTTAATTTGGCGAAATTGAAAAATTCGCCAATACAAATCTTCGCCAAAATTTAGAATGAATCCCCGGGAATTATCTAGGGTATTTTGTCCAGTGTATTTAGGTCACTTTCGGTTTAGTTTTTTCCAAAATATGAAAAAATGTCTCTCATAAATTGGCTCAGAACTGGTCAGTCCCTCATTAATACTCAGGGAAAAACTAGAAAGGAAAGGCGTGGTATAGTAGCAGCATTGATCGAGGTGCAAAATGTAAAGGATGATCTCACAAAAATATACAAACATGGTGAATATCGCCAGTGGTCCTCATAAGAAAAAATGAACATAGCCAAAGATGCCCATTTACATGGTAATTAGCAAACAGCGCGTAATTAAAAAGAAATTTTGTGTTGCATATCCGCCAAATTAAATAGCCGCCAATATGCCAAAAATGGCAAAATCGCCAAATTAAGTAGCGCCAAATTAACCGAATCTACAGTACAAAGTTGCATAATGATTGTATGATGTTCAATATATGTTTATTCTATGCCTATATTATAATATTCAACTAACTTTGACTACTTTCATATAGGGTATTCCAATTGAATGTAGGAGGTATAGCCTAGTCTACCAGGTATTGTGCTTTTCTATTGCTCTCTTGAATTTCAAGCCGAACTCTTTGAAATCCCATATTACCTTTATTAGATTTTCTCCTTTGGCGATCATATCTTCAATTTGTGGGTTGGCCTTATCAATGTCTATTCCATTGGTGAATTCCTGTTGGACACGGAGAGAATCTAAGAAACTGTCAGAGTCTGTTACTTCCTTTACCAGCTCAGCTATAGATGTATCTAAAATGTACAAGTGAAAATGATTTTCAATTATAATACAGAAAATTGGCAAACTTTAAGTTGATGCTTGATATGATGCTACAGTTATCCTAACTTCATTTAAATTTATGAGTGTTTGTGTTTCTCTATTGATATCTTATGGCATATATTAATCTTCATTTATCAAGGGGCTATTTTGAAACCATAAACATAAACTGCTTTACTGAAATGAGTTATATGCTTACTAATGAATCATACATTTAAATGCATGCCTCTTCAAAATAATTCATATTTAATGTTTTACAAAGGCTAAAAGAAAAGAAAACAAAATAAAAAAAACAAAAAAACTTTCAGATTGTGCACAAAACAAGTGCTGAATTTGCACAAACAATGTGGTGATGCTGCACATGGTAAAACATCTCCACCAACTTATTCAGGTCGCGTATTTACACATCCCTGAAAAGCCTGACTATTCAAACTTACGTGTGGCAAGTGACTGTTTTGCTGCCTGCATATGAGGTAACTTAGAGACAAACTGTTTAATTTCACCAACAGTCTTCGCTTGATGCCGCTCCTGTAATCAAAGTCAGTGTATACCACATTTAAAGATAAATACATTTCATAAATTTCATTAATCCACCTACATGTATTTTAAGCAATTTGAACATGACTGTATTCACACCTTCTACAAACTGTGAACAAGGTCAATATTTCACCCGGAGTATATTTGACGACACACCATCTGGTAATACGAGTGATGTGTGATGTTATAACAGCGGGCCATAATGAATATTCAAGAAACTTTTTAAAGAGTTTACATGTTCCAATCGTATATAGACCTCAGAGCAGGTGTTATATCGACAAATAGATTCCTCAGGGAAAGGCACAAAAGCTATTGAACATATCACTCCCTTTGGTCGTTCAGGGTACAGAAAACGTTTGTGCCTAGCCCTGCGGTATTTATTCGTCGATTTACCACCTGCTCTTGGGTCTTAATTTCTTAATAATGTTATAATCCATAGGTATAGCTTTCTGAGATAAAATAGATATGTGCACTCTGCACTGGTACAGATAAATAAATCAAACGGAAACAAAATATTTCACTGCCTTACGTCAAACTGTGCTGTGATCATTTTAGCCCTCCGACTCAGGAGAGGTCCGACTGCATTAAAGTTCCTATCACGTATCTCGCTGTAGAGCTCTTCTGCAGAGTTGAGCACTAATTTCTTGGGTTCCGTAGGCACTTCTTGAGGCCCACTGCTCTCCCCTGCCTCTTTGTCTTTTTTCATGAACTTCTCTGGTGGCAGTTTGACACTAGCTGGAAAATGTACAAATACATTAATTTCCATGTACATTAACGTAAGTACGCCAAAATAAGAAAAACCAATAAGTCAGATGAGTTTTAAGACAATAACCAAATAACAGGAAACAAATTCCCAACATTCTAAATATTGATTTATAAAATAATATTCAAGCTCACATTTTCAAAATCTGAAATGAGGAAGAAAAAAGTATCTAAAGTATCTACAAATAAAGTATCTATTGCAAACAAAATGTTCAACTGAAACGGTTTATTGGTCTAAATTACCAAAATGGGAACAATCAGTGGACTCTTGTGATAAAGTTGATTTCATCAATAAACATGTAATGAAAAGTATCTGCTGAGACATTGATATGAGCACTGATTCAGATGTAGTTTTAAATTTTCAAAGTATATCTAAGAAAATGGATGGATGGACAGAAGAACAGAGAGTTCAACAGAAGGCCAAACATGAGCCAAAACAGAGTGCCAAATAACACTCTCCCAAAACAGTTCAAGGAACTACCAAGATATCATCATGTAAGAAAAAAAACATCCTTACTATTATTAATGCTGAATATTTCATCTATGAGGCCTTCATAAGTAAGCTGAGATAGTAGTGGTGTTAAGGGGTCTATGGCTCGATCAATCAGAAGTAAGGTATCAATCTGGGGAGAAATCTGTGCTTCATTCCCAGCATTTTCACGCCGCATCCGTAACATAATATCTGCCACATGCTGTCAATAACAAAACAAATATATAAGTAATCTATCTGATAAAATCATGCCCGATTTGACCTAAATCAAAACCATTACAATACAAATGTCCTTTCCAAAAATCTCGACCCTTTTTTAATGAAACAAAGAAACTTGTCATACCTTGTAAGACAGAATAATTCTAAAAAAAAAATTTTGATTAGGTTGATGCTATTTCTTCCCATATAACCAACCACACATTGAAATTAAAAATCATCCCATCACAAATAATGTTAATTATGTTTTTTAGATCACCCTTTTCTTCACCAGCATATGTTCTATACAAGGCATTAACATGCTAAATATAACCACCTGCTGTTTGTTACAGACCCCGAACACCGAGCACAAAAGCCAGCCACAAAAATTGAAGACCATAATAATATAGCACCACTTCTGGTGTTGACATAAAAACCATAATGAAGTGACCATGAGTGCATATTACCTTGGCACAGTCACCCTTGCCGTATATATTAGGTATTGTTCCATAGAGAGCTTGAATTGTCATCAGGCATTTGGCAGCATTATACATTGAAGTGTAGTCGCTGTCTAAATGGCATTCCTGGAAAATAAGAATTCACAAATGAAGGGACTAAACAGTGCAGCGATTTTGAAGATTTTTGGTAAATGTCTAATTTATTTGCATCGTTTCTAAATAAATAGATATAACTTTTAAACTGAAACTACAGTTAAATTGTTAAGTGTCAATACATTTTTACATGTACAAATTTGATGACCACAATACTGTATCGAGGAAAATTAGTCTAATTACAAATTAATTCATTACTAATTACTAATCAATTGTATAGTATACTGCTGGTTGGTTTTTGTACTGTACCTTGTATGCAGCTTCATACTCCATGGAAAGCAGATCAGAGTCTAGTGGTATCATATCTAAGCTAAACTCATCAACATGAGTGAATGTCCCATATACTCCAAGTTCCTGTAAATACAAATGATAAGCTGTGTGTATATACAGGAATATGTTAAAGAAGTATTAATTTGAATATTAAACAAATGAGTCAGGCATACATAAATGTGTAAAGGATTTAAGCGTGAGGGCCTTGTATGAGACTTTGAATAAGGGAGGGAGCCTTAATACAAGAACAACAATGTTGCATTGGGTTTTGCAAGGTCAACTCAATGACCTGCATAAGCACTCTACTCAGCAAATCATTATTCATCTGTTTCATGATATAGAATCACTGTATTTTTCATTCCCCAAATGTGATATTCCATGCCATGCGATGGGCTACTAACCATGAAACCCAAACAGAGTTAGGTAAAAAAAGAAACAAGAAGAAGTATATCATACTTGGAAATTTTATGAATAAATTAGAAATAGATCGAGCATTTAATCTTACCTTCAGCTTTCTCTCACACAATAAACTTTTCCTTGGAACAAAGAATAAATGAAATTCTTTTCTAAATCCTCCAATTTCTTCTTCTCTGAAAGAAAATAAATAGCAAACATGTCAAATTACTAACAATCAATGAATACCTTTGTGAGGCATAATACTACCTTAGTTCGTTTATTTCATCCCCTACTGAAATTTTTTTCTCTCAACAACACCCACTCCTCAATTACAGTTGCTCTTTCATGGGTTACTGTAATGATTCAGCCATTGCAAATCTTGTTTATTTTAATTTCATACATTTTATATGATACATATGTTAAACAGTGTTAATGAATTAAGCTTACTTTAATACAGTCTGGGCTATCATGTCCATAAGACCTAGTTTAGGCCGGGATATGAAAACAATATTCTGGCAGTTGTTCTGTGGAAGCCGGCCTGACTTTTGTAATGGAAACATTTTGTCCACTTCATGTTCCTAGAAACAGATGTATTTTTAGCATGTTACAGTAGTTTACATTTTTTAATCTATATATATCTATCAAGCTCCCATACTGTAAATAAGTTATTATAGAGATACTTCTTTTCTTTATTAATGGTACTTTTTACTTGACTTAAGAGTTATACGCTACACATATATGCCATTTGGTGTCAGTATTTGTCATGTATTATTTTTGTATATACTGTACGCCCGGTATTATTCGCGAGCTTTAATTTCGCGAATTTTGCGAAAACACGGTTTCGCAGCTATCAAATTTCGCGAATACTGTATTTTATTGTATTCGGGGATTCCCCAGTATATGATGTCCAATCAAATTGCAGGCTACGATCACGTTAACAATCGTGCGCACGTGCTCTTTCATTGCCGCACATGCGCATTTTAAAGTCATGGAGTTGCACAGTACTATTTAAGTACTATAACTCGATCCAAACTAGTAGACAAAACGAAATGCATCAGAGCCCAGGGTAAAAACAAATTCCCGGGGATTTAATTGGCAATTTCGCGAAGATAATTTTTCGCGATTTTAACACCCTCGCGAAAAGCGCGAAAGTTAATCGCACGCGAATAATACCGGGCGTACAGTATATTAAATATTTCTAAATAAATAAATGAAATTAAATAAAAAATAATAAAATTCATAAGTACCAAAGTATTCAATTTTAAGAGACAGCTGCAATCAGGATAATCAACAATTTAAGCAGGTGAAAGCTAAATTAATGTTTACCTTGAGGAGTGTGTATTCTGCAATCAATCCAAACGGTCCTGTAAGTCCATCATCCCAAACTAAAGCCTGTAATTTATAAACAGAAATTCATAAATAATGAATCTACAATCTACATGGCCTTGGAAGAAATGTCAATGTTGTTCTAATCCTAAAAGAGTCCTTTGAAGAATGATTCAAAATTAATACAGTGTGGGTCAAATCCACTTGACAGTAGCCACAAAAATTGAATTGCCTTGCCACACTGTCGAACATGAAAAACATGAAATTCGCAATTGTATTATTAGAGTTTATTTAGTCAATTTTAAGTACTATCATTATTACTTTCTTTTTTAAGATTTTTACTCACAAAAAACTGTGAATACACATAAAATTTATCATCATTGGCAACACTGTGGCAAGAGCAATTTTTCATTGATGAGTGTGAAAACACAAGTCGATTGCCACTTGGCGAGTGACAGAAAAATCCTAAGACCCACACTGTAATAGTGACCTACACAAAGCAGCAGCTGATGCATGGGGCTTGATAACAACAGGTCATATGTAACTAATAAATTCATATTCTTTACAACTTTTAACATAAAAGAAATTGGGATCTACATGTACATCATGCAGACTGAGGACAGATCAGCTCAAAATTTCTGCTGATGATTATGATTCGTCGATTGAAAAATCTAGCATTCTGACTAATGAAAGATGAGGCACACATGAGTACAGTAAACCTCCACCTACAGTACTATTTATATCGAGATTTTATACTACAGATGGGGTTGGGAAGGGAACAGATAATGCTGTCCTACAGTACATGCCGGCCTACATGCCCGTAGCCAGCAAGACATAGTGATTCTCTGCACGATGGCCTTGAATTGATATGACAGTCACTAGAAATACAGCCTTAATATTTTCCACATGACTGTCAATTGGCGGAACAGCAGTATTTACTGTTTACTGGTAATGAGGAAGCAAAGTGGGAGGGGTGAATTTGAAAAAAAATCAAAACAAAAATTCAAAGTGAGCAATATCATAGTTTTTGAGATTAAACTGATTTAAATAAAATAGAAATATGATATACCTTACTCCCTGTACATTTGTCCAAACATTCGAGTAGCTCTCTTCTGTATGACTCCCTCAAAACGGCAATATTTACTTTTCCTAAACTCAAATGAGCTGCCATTTCTAAAATTGATTTGGGGTTTGTCATAAAACACTTCCGGTTCGCGGAGGGATATACTAAATCTAAAACATACTTTGTGCATGAGATAGCCACTAAAATGCATTTATATTTTACAAATGTGTATAATAATGCTTCCTACAACTCTTTATTGTGCATTTATTCAATAAATTATCTTAATAATGAGATAGAGCAGTGCTGATTTTTCAGATGCGCATGAGTACGAAAAAAGTGTTCTTCGGCTCGGAGAAGAAGTCAACATGACTGAAAACAGAGGTAATAAAGTCTCCAAATCTACATTAAAGCGTATATTTATTGCAAACAAATTACTTCATGTTATAAATGGAATACCAAGTCACAACTGTATTTAATTTTGCAGATTCTGAGATCCGGGAACGGTTGTTATGGAACGTCAAGAAAGAGGTAAGAATTTCTGTCAATTTTCTGTTCTGTCAACAATTTCCTGATTATGTTAATTTATACTATCATACAATATTCATAGCGATTAGTGTGGGTTGATAATGTCATATTGAATGTATTCTCTTAGATCTATAGCCATTGATCTTGCTACGGATTTGAAGAAAGCGTATATCAACCATGCTAGTAGTTTCCCTAGTTGCTCGTTCCAAACCCCTGGCATTATCGACTATAACCCGAAGACCATGGATTTACATGCTAGCATGTACTTCATGATTCCCCTGACATATGGGATGATATCTTACATTAAATCTTTGTTTGGATGAGGTTCATGTTTAGAGTTATTTGTAATTCCCAGAGAGGCATTTTAAAGGTTAAATCCCAGCTGTAGCGATATAATAATTTTTGTTACACAACATACAGTTCAGAATGATATGTATCTGATATGGATAAAACCTCAGCTGCGAATCATTCCAGTTTAATTCCATTTTATGTATGTTAGAACTTAATCTCTAATTGCACCAACCATTGCTATATTACAGGTACTTAAATGTCATGTATAAGATTTACACCAGGCCTGTAGCCAGGATTTGCCCCGGCCATATTTCGATGGCGAACTCTGATTGGCTCGTTGAGATCAGAGATTTATTGTAAACAAGAGTGAATGAATGCAAAGGGTAGAAATGTGTAGGAAAGCAAATACAATTCCTTGGGCAAGACATAATATTGCAAACAACTTGACTTTAATGAGATTTAGTGTAACATAAAAAAAATTAGGTAGATTTGAAGTTCAATGAGCAAATCAGATCCATGATATCACACATCTGCCTATTAATGAATAATTCAGTCAATGGAGCACAGGATGTGATGAATCCTCACCATTGGCAGGATTAGTTTGGATTTGATCTCTAAATGTACCATGACAATAAGTTGTAGTTGAACAGTCTCTGTATTTGGTGTGGCTGGTCTTATAGGTTATATAAGATTATAGGTAATCTTATAGGTTATTTTTTATGAGGTTTTGGGTGTTTCACCTTTCGACTTTTTTTTCAAATCAAGATGGAGTTTTTCCGAATTGGCCTCCTGATCAAGGAAAGCAAGCACAAAAAGTTTCAACCAAATTCGTTGACGTTTAGACCTCCCCCTAACATATTTTTGATGCCCATTCGCTACCATGTTGATAATCATCTAAAAATTGCAGAAAATGTCATTTTCATCATGTTTGAGACCTATGTTCTACCAAAGGCACTTCAATGATTTTTATCAAAGTCACCTAAACTGCAGAACAAAAGTGCTTTGGGGTTACTGTTGAATGTTCTAAATCTGTAGATGTAAAATGCCTGTATATTTCTAAATACTTGCAAATATTGTCAATATAATATATAATCACTGACCATCTATGAAAAATTGAGGGTAATTTTTAATTCAGATAATCAATTAAAGTTTTAACTTATATTTGTTGTTAAATTAAAATTTTGGCATGCGCTATTGATACGTATTCAACAAAATCTGCAGTTGTATACAATATTGGAGATATATCCTTGCTCTAAGTTCTTATATGTAAATGTGTAAAACAGTTACCACTCAAAATAAAGTCAAAGCATGAAGTCACTGCTTGGATATTGTCTGTTTCGATTGATATGAGTTAACGTACATTTGAATTGATTAGCTATATTACTAAAGTAAAAGTACTTTTGTCTCATAAATCTTGATTTATATCTGTCTTTTTATTATTAATTCCTGGGGTGTTTATTTTACCATGCATCATTACACAGCCTTAACGTATGTGTGAAAACCTAGTCCAGATGTTTATTTAATTCGAAGTAATGTGAAGTTTCAATATCAGTCAGTAAGGAAAGTTAACTTTGACTGGGGTGATTTCTAATTTGGATGGTACAACGAATGCTGTAAAGTCAATAGCCTTTTACATAAGGGTCTTAAGGACTAATACTATATTGCCTGTGTGGGTTGAATTAATTAGCATTTCATGAACATAGAGACACTACAAAACAGACTGATATTTATAGATATTCACCATTTTATTTAGTTAATTGTGATATCATTTCTTTAGTACTGAGTATATATTTTTTATTTATTTACTGTTTACATGTTTTCAAATGATAAAAATTAATTTCAGTTCATTTTGAAATAATACAAATGTTCAGAGCATCTCATTTATTTATTCATAAGTACAATTTGTGTTGTTCAAGTACATACTACTTGTTTTTAACATAGACTTTCTTTTAAGCATGTTCTTATTCTATTACTCTACGGTGGAATTAGCTGGTCAATATTTACTCAGAATTACCTTGCATTTAACTACCTGTTGTTTATAAGAACTCGAGACAATTTAATCAGACATATTGAAGAGACTTTTTTATATAAAACAATCATAATATTTATACAAGTCTGTGGTAACAACACCTACATGTGTATGGTTGACCCATGTTATTTGAAATAGATTGATGCTGTCATATGAGCAAGTACCTATTATTATTGATTGTAGAAAGATCTAGCATGTGAGGTACATTTGTATGTAGTGTGTAGGTGTTCTTTACTTGAATTAATAAATACTTTAGGAATCTCATCAATCAATTTATTGCTTTCAAATTTCCTTCCACAGAGAAGTAATCAAATGTTATATTAAGATGTGATCTCAGATGTAATATTAAGAAGTGATGTGAAATGTAATAATAAGATGTGATTTCAAATGTAATATTAGATATGATTTGAAATGTAATATAAGGAGTGATATGAAAATCCTCAACACAATGAACCATGACAACTTTTTCTCAGTTTTATATATTTTTTCTCATATTATTTTTCAATATATAATTTTCTTAATCGCAACCATACATTTATCACACAAATTTTCTAAAAATCTTTTAAGTTGATATTTTATTCCAGGAAAACTAAAAATATTGATATCTAAATGCATCCGATTTTCATTTACATGTCGTGGATACCCATATTTATTATTCAGGACAATAAATAACCTCACTATTTGAGATGTAACAGATCTCTTTTTTCAGGAGTACATTCTCATATTTTTTATGTTTATTGAAATCAATGCTGAATTAATCTTGATTGTATCTAGATAAACTAATATTTTTACAAATAAGAAATCACATCAAACGAAAAAACAAATAGAATATTTCAATTATTAAACAAATGAGTATAATGACTAACAGGTTGTATATTGATTATTACAATTTTGCTGTTGATAAAATCTCAATGTACATGGTGTTTAATGTTGGTTTACCTGTGAATTTTATGTTATTTGTTTTGGATAAATTTTGCAGATTCTGATTGATTGATCATTTCATTGAGTATGTTAGGACATTATTTTCTCTTCTTAAAGCTAAGTTCACACCAACGACGGTTTGATAACGCTTTAAAGAGGCATGCTAAGCATCGTTGGTGTGAACTCAGCTTTAAGGAATTAACTTTTGAATTTTTATTCTTTAATTTTAGACTTAATTCATTCCTTTTTAGGCTCATTATTATAGGTTCCAATTGATTTGATATAATATAGGGACCTTTATTTCCTATGTTACCTGGTCCTGTGGTATTGATTGATTTAGACTGATTAACTTAAGAATTGTACAGCGCGCTGTCTGGAATTAAAAGCCCCAATGATAAATCTATAATAAGATATTGAAAGCATAATACTTGATGATTAAATACCTTGTTTGCGCATTCTTATGGCTGCATAGAATCACTAGAATAGAATTATATAGACCTTTATTTTAGTCTTATGAATTTGTTCTAGAACTATGCACCTCTTCAAAGAACATAAAAGTACTGTATACAGTATGTCAGTTTATGATTGATTATTTGAGCACTGGGACATTTTGGATATAGATTATATCCCTATTTGGATATAGATTTATCCCGGGGGAAAACAATCTGACCTCTCCAAAATTTGAATTTATTTACACCTGTATAATATTGAGCCAGTATTCATCTAAAAAGTACTATAAGTATTTAATGCTTGATATTGCTAGTGGAAATAGATATAAATATAAAATAATGATACATTGTCTAGTTTGTGAATGTCACAATTATCTTTCAACATACAAAATCTAATGAATCTCTAAAAATCTGAAAATGACAGGTATGAACTAAACATGTTTTACAGTTACAGTATCAGTCCAAATATTGTCTTGTACAATACACATAATAAGTCCAGATGCAATTAAGCATTGATTCGTTATTTTAGAACATGCCTAGATCAGCAGCCTCGTGTTAATGACTGTAATTTGAATAACTGATTGGATAGCTCAAGCCTATTTCTTCACTAAATGTATTATTCATGCATTCATGAGTTCTTAATGTTTGAGAATCAGGGAAGGGGGAGAGGGGGGAGAGGGGGTTGGGAAAGCAGGGATTGAATTAGTTCAGAAATTATTGCTGTTTTTGTTGTGTCTTTATCAATTTGCCCATATATGGTAGATTACTACCAAAATTATCAGAAAGGTAATGCATAAAGATCCTGTTTGACATTACTAAAAATTTGTATACTTCTAGTTTACTAAATTGGGTCCTTAACTACATTTTTGTTCAAATGAAGATTCTCCTTTTGATTTTTTTGCTTACATGGTATAAGCCTTTGCAGTCACCCACTTGATAATATGAATTATCACAATGGTCATTTGTCCATTTGCCAATTGTCTTAAGGCTGTTGTTAAGCTGAAACAATGTGATTATTCATTTTAATGGATGTCATACCACCGTTGGTCCCCAGATTCTACTTTTACCTTGTTTTGGGGATATCCTTTTTACCACCTGAGCCCCTGGATTGGTGCCATGTTCTTACAAATGAGAAAGTAACCATATTCATCAGAGAGACATTATTCTTGTGAGATATATTTAGTTGTAATCATTAGATCAGATGTTTTTTCCATCAATTAGAATATAAGAGATCACGTTGTTCTTGTATGTGTATTCTGTTTTCAATCATATGAATTATGGGAATCATTATTAAGAGAATTTACTTGTGAAAACATGTACGAGGGTATATCATAAAGTTCTCATAATATCTCTCTAATTATTTTATTTTTCAACATATTCTCATGAAATTTTCATAGAATCTGCAGTATAGAATACTGTATTAATCTATCAAGAAATATTAGGTATAACAGAAATATTAGATAAGTAATGGTTGCCATAGTAACCGGAAATCAAGGCACCCGGGGCAAATAAAAATAATTGAGATATAATGAGCTTTATTAACCTTGTTTACATACATAATAAACTCTCGTAAATTATCAAACACATTAAAATGTTATTTGAATATGTTGTTAAATGCTTTTACTATAAAATAAATTGATCATGTGAATTGTGTGATGTCGTAGGGAATGCTTACATGCTTCATTAGATGTGATACCACACTCTGAGAATCAAAGCTTAATGATCAGAAATGACTGAGTTAGATAATGCATAGATGCAGGGATCATCAGAAAAATAATATTCATAGTGATAAAAAGTTTAGTTTAGTTCGAAAAATCCTTTGCTCATACTAAAGATGATCTAAAACAAATATGTTGCAAAGATATCAACAAAATTACACCCTATGTGTGGTCTATTATTTATTTAAGATGAACTAAAGTAGAAAATCGACTTTCCTTGGAATATTTGACAAAACAGTTGTCGTGTCTAACATCACTTCTAATGAAGCATTACAATCATCCATTATGAGATCACAAAATTCACATGATCATTATAATAGTTCAAAACAGTCAAAAATACATGGTGTTTAATATGTTTCATAGCTTATTTGATAACTTTTTATGCATTTAAACATGGTTAGTTGGGGCTATTCTTGCACGATTTTTTATTTGCCCCGGGTGCCTTGATTTCCGGTTACTATGGCAACCATTTCTTAAATAATATTTCTGTTATACCAAATATGTTTTGATAGATTAATGCAGCATCGTATACTACACATTCTATGAAAAATTCATCAGAATATATTGAAAAATAAAAAAATTAGAGAGATATTATGAGAACTTTATGATATACCCTCGTATAATGACTATGTTTTACAATTAGAGGCTTTGTAATTTCTATGATAGAACGATTCCCTTAACGTCTCAGAAATATATTTTCTCTTATGGATAAACTATGAGTATTTGGACCCTCAGCTATTATTTATCCGAAAATCCAGTAAGAATGGTTTATCTAACTTAAACCCCACACTGACTCTTATGTAAGATAAATTGTAAATGATAAAAGAGGTAACTGTGTTGAGAAGTAAATATGTGTCTTTTTTAATATAAGTATGTATGTTGTATGTTTGTACTCTAAAATAATCCTCTACAGGAAGGTTCTGTCTCTTAATATTATATAGGATTCCAACTGCAGAGATGGTTTTAGTATTTAAACATAAGGTTAGGTGGACTAATTGATTGGAAACCCAGAAGGTGACCAAATTGGGTAGCAAACAGGAAATGTGTCCAAATTTGAATTACATCATGGATTATGAAGTTATGAAGTTTCAGGATCGCACATTTTTTTAATGAAAATTATATTTGGAGGCGGTCAGGTAAGGCAAGCCACTCTCTTAATCCAAAACTGATCTCGTCCTCTAATCTTTTGGTTTTAGCTTCTCTGCATAAGATGCATGCATGAAACCAATCTAATTGTAAATTTTAAGTACTCAGATGCATACATGGAACCAATTCATTTGTGGATTTGTAGTAAATTGCTATACTGGAGCAGAACCACCTAATACACTCCCATAACATTGGTGATTTATTCTAAAGTATCCCATCAATAAAATCTCAAGATATATGTTTAAATATATAATCTCTCTGGCTGTAAAATGAAATAAGAATTGCAAAAATTAACAATAAACAGATAATTACACCTTCATGAAATAACTCTACATAATGTTCTATAGATTTTACTGAATGGTTGAATATTCAGAAAATGCCTAAAATGATCATGATAAGTTCTTTGAAGATTTCCAGGTAGTAATGTTCTTATGACTTATTCATGTTGCATAATTAGTTTTGCTGCAAGTCTTTTATTGAAATAAAGAACACGATGACTGCGAAATGGACTCAGATGTCATTATGATACGATTGCATCTGTGTTTTAGTTAAGATTTACTTGTATAGACATGCACTTGGATCATTGTATAGGTTGATATACAGCCACATCCAGCTTTGTATATATAGCTTAGGTATAGTCATATATAGATTGAGATATATCCAGTAAACAGATATAACAGTACATTGGGTGAGCATGGGACTGTGCATCATTAGAAATCATGGCAAATTATCTTCTTTCCTTCTTTCTAGTTTCATATTTCTAGTTGGAGAACGATGTAATGAATATCAGAATGGGGACTGAGGGTCTTTTACGAATACTGCACCTGAAATGATTGGTAGTAAGAGAAAGTGTCAAGATTATCAATACTGTTGTTTATCGTATGATCTGTAAAATGAAGCCCTCTGATTGGTCAGTTCTTGTGCTGTACCAATCCGTATTGCTACTGAGATTGTCCCCGTTGATCATCTGCGTCGCAATACAGAAAATATTGGTACGGAGGGGACAATCTCAGTAGCAATACAGAGGATCACACGATAAAAACGTTATTGAATGATTTGAAGTGCAATACAGGATATATTCTGTCTCGATATTCTGTATTGGCACTCGACTTCGTCTCGTTCCAATACAAAATTTCTCGAACAGAATATATCCTGTATTGCACTTCAAATCATTCAATAACTTATAGTACCGTTATCGAAAAATTAAAGTTAATTTTGTTAGGGTTTAATCCCCCCCCCATTCCCTTATTATAAAGAAAGTAAAAAAAATCTGATTTATTCATTATCCAATGATTTCATCAGGTCTATGAGTTTTGGAAGGGAAGATTAAAAATTAGAAAATTGCATATACTTTATTAGTCATGATTGGCGCCCAGGCGCTTAAAGTAAGTCAAAACAGTTCAAAAAGTTGTCCTTATTAGCGCCTATATGAGTCCCGACTGAGAAAAAATGCTGGAGTTTCAGCTTTATTATAGAAAAAAAGTTGGAAAAAATTTGGCCCTCCCAAAAATCTTGGGGGGGAGGCGCTAATAGGGACAAGGGCACCAATTACAGCTAATACTGTAATGTAATGGATTAAGAATGTTAAAGTGAGATGATCCACATATTTTGTGCTTAGGGAAAAAACAGACACACAGGATAATTCCAGGGATAATTAAGTTAGATAGAGCACTTGCTTGAAAATGACGCAGGTTGTTGGAAACATGGATGATGATCCAATTAACATGATCAATAGTCACAACATACCATTTCAGACATCACATATGATTATTAATATAAGATCCAAAATGATAGATGAATGCCATCACAAAACCGAATGTAGTGAATTCAACAGCCTTCACATTTTACCAGGACCTCCTTCATGGTATGATATTTGCATGAAAATTCAACAAATCTGTAAGATTATTAAAACAACTCTGTAAATGTACGATTTATTCAAATTTTGAAAGTGCCAGGCCTGTAGCCAAGATTTGCCAAGGGGGGTTCAGTTTTCAAAAATTTCCAGGGGGGGTTCACATTTGACAATTTTGGTCCAAATATGGCTAAAATCACTTGAGAAGTGCTCAAAATGGTGAAAAACTGCATGGTTTTGAAAGAATTTTTGGCCAGGGGGGGGGGGGGCGTTCGCCCAAACCGTGCGAACCCCCCTGGCTACGGGCCTGAGTGCTGAACTACCTTATTAGCTTATATGTCACAAGCGTCACATGCCATGGCCATTATTTTCATCACGAAGATCAAGGGTAAGATAGAGTCATTGATTAAGTGCATAGAGTTGCTATAAAACCAGGCATTATTCTGATCTATAAGTGAGAGAGGGAATTAAGCATGTCAATAACTGACTTATCTGAGTTCTATCCATATGAATGCACTGTAATAAGTATTAGGTCAACATTATCTCATTGAAATAACAGCTTGTGTTTGGCGAAATGAGTGTACTTTTAGACTATTGTTCATTTTATAAAACTATTTATCGGAAACCACTAACAGTTATTTAGAGAACATTAACAAATAATGTACAATTTAATGTCAAATTAATGTATGATTAAATGTTGGTTGGTATCTGGCATTTGTTACAAATGGCAGGACGGACATTCTGTATGTTAAATGCCCTATATATTGTATATGACCGTATTATTGTTTTGAAGATAATATAATGGATCTCCCTAAGGGAGATTGTTTTACCAGTCTCCATCAGGGTATATCTATTCCAAATAATTATAATTAATTAAATCAAACCGTTGACTAGAAAGCAGCCCAGTGCCTATATATCTTCATTAAGGAGATGATTGCTACATTTCTTTCTATATAATTTTCTCAAAATGAATTATAAAAATCAATTTCTTATTTAATTTCAGGTGAAGTGCATTATGGAAGAGGCTGTTACAAGAAAATTTGTCCATGAAGAGAGTAGCAGCGTCACATCATTATGTGGTAGGTTATGCTCTAGTTAGTTCAGAATGTTATGTGGGAATTACAGTACTCTCTCCCAGTTTTCTGTCAAGTCTGTGGTCACTCCTAACCCAATTATGATCTATGTCTTCACCATTTGTATCTAAACCTTTGCAAGCCATTACTTTCTCATAGGTGGTAAGTGTTGATTTCAATTTTTTAGTTTTCATCTAATTAAACTGTTTTACTGTAGATATTTGGCTTTGAAATTTCTACCATACATATCAAGCTTGTATGGAAATCTGATCATGAGTAGCTATCAGGTGACCAGTGGCCTTGTGTTGCCCACCTTATATTTTACATATCATTTATTTCATTTTCTCTCCTTTATTGCAATGAGAATGGGAGAGTCGAGACAGAGACTTATTCGAATGTAAGCTTAATTGAAATTATTCATTGTGAAAAGATCAGATGTGGAAAACAAGATTGTGTTAATTTTTGAAGCAATAACTGATCACCATTTCACATATGAACCTCTGATTCCCGATCCCATATTGTTGACAAAATGGTACAAATCCTCATAGGAGTATATTCATTAATGCCTGATAACTACTGTAAACATGCAATCTGGGTCTGTGAAGAGCTTTATGTCATGTTTGAACGAACATTATTGTGTTATTGTCACGATTTATCAAACCCAGTATCACTTAAGATAGAAAACTCGTTGATTAGTGTGATAGAATTTGCTGATTGAAACTGACAATGAGCAATTTTCTCAATTCTCATTTGAATTTGTTGTCAAACTTATTTCCATCCCTTACTTACTGATTGAGTTAACATTATATCATTAAAGTTTATTCTTTGGTTTCACTTTCTCATTCTGTGTATAATCTTTGAAAAGTGCTATAATTATGTTATTCAATGATTTAAGGAAAATACAAGAAAAATATTTAGGCCTGTAGCCAGGATTTGCCATTTTAAAAAACTACAGGGGGGTTCACAACTTTGGCCAAGTATGGCCTCAGAACGAGGAAAAACTGTATGATTTTGAAAGGAGTTTGGCCAAGATCCCCCCGAACCACCCTGGCTACGGGCCTGATGTTATCATTCAGGCCCGTAGCCAGGATTTGCCAAGGGGGGTTCAATTTTCAAAAATTTCCAGGGGGGTTCACATTTGACAATTTTGGCTAAAATCACTAGAGAAGTGCTCAAAATGGTCAAAAACTGCATGATTTTGAAAGAATTTTTGGCCAGGGGGGGTTCGCCCAAACCCTGCGAACCCCCCCTGGCTACGGGCCTGTCATTGGTGTTTAGATGGTGTTTAAATGTTCGACAGAAGTGTTATATATGGTGATGTCAAATTGCTTGCTAGAAATTTCACTGGCAATGAATACTATTTCACATTCTACACAGCTAATAGGGGAAGTAGAAGATTATGAGGGAGGTGCCTTAAGATGAATAAAAAAACATAAATTGTATATTATTAAATGTTGATGATAGAGGAACAACTGCTCAATACAAAATTGCTAAGTGATTGATAATCCAAGGCTAACAGAAATTGCTCATGATTGTAAGCAGTTCAAACATTATTCTGTCATTTAGCTTGTTTTTATCGCACTTTGAAAAAGTACTATATTGTTATCGTCTTGGGCTTCTAGACATGCATGTCTGGATCTGTGTGGTTGGGTGCCATGTAAATCTTGTCTTTTAGATTCCAGGAAAACTGCTTATTCATTCAAAATCTCTACAGATCTAGTGCCAAGATTTGATAAGGCTTTTGGCATGCTGGGTAAATTTCACGGTAGTCAGCAGGCCCGTAGCCAGGGGGGGTTCGGACGAACCCCCCCTGGCCAAAGATTCTTTCAAAATCATGCAGTTTTTCACCATTTTGAGCAATTCTCAAGTGATTTTAGCCATATTTGGGCCAAAATTGTCAAATGTGAACCCCCCCTGAAAATTTTTGAAAACTGAACCCCCCCTTGGCAAATCCTGGCTACGGGCCTGGTCAGTGTGCTCTTAAAAGTACGATATTTATCACTGTGTGTTTAATGTTATTAGATGTAGTCTTGTATTAAAGATACGGTTCCTTAAGATTTCTCACTAAACAGTTCGTAATTCCATAAATGATTTTTATATGCACAATATTGTTCACCATGTGCCTTTGGATAATATGTCTACACCCTAGTATACTTTCATTACAATCTATGATGAATTAATAGAAAATGCTGAGCAAATACCAAGTGCAATTAACAGAGGACTAGAATATGTTTCCTCTATTAGTAATTCTTTACTGTAATGAATTACAATGCTACAATTACAATATTTTAGCTACAATTACAATGTTTGAACTACAGTTACAATGTTTGAACTACAGTTACAATGTTTGAACTACAATTACAATGTTTGCTATATTATTACAAGCCTATGTGGAATCCCAGTGTTGAAGCAACATCATGCAGGAATTTCTGCATTTGGGGTTGACACCTTGTGTTGTCTTATGCATTGAGTCACCATGGCAACATGTATCCTTTTCTCTATCAGGCCATTCTGTATTAGTATTAGTAGTAATGTTTAACATATTTTTTATAATTGCAGTTTTAAACGCAATACACCATAAAATATTAATGTTTTATTCATTTTTCCAAATTCAAAATCTTTACTATTTTGCCATAATATATTCCCTCTTTAGAATTAATGGATCATATTGCTAATTTTTTTATTTGAAATATTGCTGAACATTGCTAGAAGAAGTGAGATGTATTAATCCTTTCCTGGTGTGAATATAAGAGGGAAAAGTTGGCCCTGGTGACAGATAAGTTAGAGTGCTTTTTAGGGGAAAACTGCAAATTACCTATGCCCCGGGACCTATACCTTGAATTTTATCACTGACATACAATTTGCAGTAAGGATTATCACATAAGAACAACTTGTCAAAATTTAGTGTAAAAATACTGAAAAGAACTGGAGATATTGTCATTTCATTGATGTATATAAATAAAAATAATGGTGTCAAAAGGAGCCCTGAAAGGTATTACATAAAAGGGCTCCATTTTAGTCTGTTCAAATATATCTTTCTAATTCAACTCATCTCGAAAATGTCGATCTGCTTTTTTTTTGATATAAGAGCCTTGATAAATATGCTTGTGTATCTGGAGCTATATTTTGCAGCTGGCAATTTTCTCCAGTTGTTTCTCTGAAAATCACCTGCTGTTTGAGGAATTTTGCCAATCTTTTCATGTTAGAATTATAATATCCAATAATTGTAACTGTTGTTTATTCATTTTGCCTGTTTATCAGAATTTCTGTATGTCAGCACATTTCAAAAAGGTATGCCAATAATTCCTTACAGTCCTTATTTTATTTTCTGTAAAAAATGAATAAATGTAATTGAAGGATGGTTTTAGATCCAGCTCTCCCCCGTTTCATTCCTTCCACAAAAAGAAGGATTATCCTGAATATAAACTCAGACCAGTTGTCAAACTCTCAACTTTTTTATGTCACCACCACAAATAGTGACATATTGTTACAGTCAACAACTTTTTATGGCCGGTGTTCAGCATCTGTAACAGCATTTTGTATCTGTAACAGTGCTCGGGGGTCAGTGTATATAACAAATGGCAGGTGGTGACGTTTTGCATGTTAATACCTTGTTCTGAACTGTTCTCTCAAAAACATATACATCATTGTACATCATTAGTGTTTTCTCTGAGTAACCCTTTAATACCCCCACTGGGAAATCATTGAAGAGCCCCCAAACATAAGATGCTTTGTAATAATGTATATTCCCATGGTAATTAATGGAACAAGATGCTTAACAACAACATCGATATTCTTGACAAGAATCTAGTTGAAAGAAACTGATGCATAACAAAATATGTTTAAGTATTTAATTTAACATTGCATTCAATGGGAAATTCTTTTTTTCAATTTAGAAACATGGCTGTAATGATATACAGTACCTGTCCGATGGAATACCTCTCTGTAGGGAAAACCTATGAACAAGGAATGCTTTTCAAAAGAACCGAATATTTTCCCATTGACTTACATGTTAAGGGACCCTCTCTGTAGGGAAAACCTCTGAACAGGGAACAAGGAACACTATTTTTGGGCAAATTATGAAAATTCACCTGTGAACAAGGAATATGGAATTTTCGTGACACTGCATATGAATTAATATGATTGAGATTAAGATAAGCCAATTGTTGACATGATGTAGCATCCCACCCACTGTTAATTACCCCGATATATTTTAAAACTAATACTAATCTGTTTGTTACTTATTATCATGACACCAATTCTTCCTTTCAAAAACCTAATCACATCAAATCAGTTGTGATAATCTAGGGACTCAGGGACTGACACAATTGTTATATGGAGTTAACAGATAGTAAGTACATCATGTTGAGCCAAATCTCTTTAAATCTTTTACTGATCCAACTTCTCGATTATCAATACTTGAAATTCAGTTCTTAGCAATATATCTCTACACATCATATCAATGATTACATCAACTAGACATCATCACACGCTAGAAGCAGCTAAAATCAACATGAGGAGACATAACCAAGTATGGAGCCTGCATTTGTACAATCAATCAAATATGCTTATGCGGCAATTTTGAGTTTGCTGAAAGTGCGGCCCCTCTCTATAGGGAAAACCTCTGAACAAGGAAACTTTCGTCCAGTCCCAAGAGCATTCCCTGTTCGCAGGTTTTACTGTATATGCAATGTTGATGTGGAAAAGCCAGTTGGCCCAATAGCTCAGTGGTAGAGTACTCGTCCGGCAAGCGAGGGGTCGTGGGTTCGATCCTCACTAGGGTGGACTGACTCATTCATATCAGCCTTTAGCGCAGAATTTCCTTCTGTGTTTTCATTAACTTTTGAAAATTGTAAAATTGTTATTATTTTATTGAAATACAATAGCGTTTATGGTAATATTTATGAAAATCCACTGCTATGTCTGAATTAATATTAAAACCTTAGCAAGGCACGATTGCCTCCCTTGGCTCATGCCTGTCCATGCCTGCGCAAACGTAGAGGGAC